GGGGGGGGGGATTGGAGAGGGGAGGGGGCACGAGAAAGAGGAGAATAAAAATGTTGGCGAATAATGCGAGAGAATTTTGAAACGAGGTCGCGCGAACGTTTTGTTCGACGCAGCGTCGAAACGAACTCACATTGTTCCGTGAACCATCGAGTCGCTTTATTCGACGGCCACGACGGAACCCCCTCCGCCGGTCCATTGTTATCGTTATCGCGTGCACGCATAAACGACGATGAAGGAACCTTGTCGGGGCGATGGATTATTATCGGGCATTGTTCGTCGTCGATTCCGCCAGCTATTAAAAAAATCGCGACGTTAGATCATTAGAAACCGGGGAAAATTATCTCTCGCCGCGGTGTTTCCGATTTATCGGAACTCGTTGAATTTACATCCGCCGTGCTCGCTCCGGTCGCAAAAATAATAAAATATCTCGTTCGCGCGATCTCCGAAGCTATTGGCCGTAACATGAAATATTCGCGCGCGAAGTCGCGCGAAGAGCACCGCGGCATAAATCGTTCGCGGCGGCGTAGAAATTCACGACGCGATAGATAAAAGTCCTCCGTATTTATCCTGGTGCGTCGTCCGTTTAGCCGCGTCGAATCCCGAGCGGAGGCATTTCCCCTGCGAAACTCTGCGCGAAACTTCTCGACGCGGTGGCAATTAATTTCTCTTTTGCTCCTCGAAATTTGCCATCGATTTGCCATCGTTCCGCGCAAGCAGAACCCGAGCTCCTGAATATGCAAAAATATCCTCTCCCCTGCCGCCTCTAACTCGTTCCACCGGGCCACCGGGTTGGCCCGTTCAAAAATAACAGATGATTCGTAAGCGCGTCATAAATCCAGCGGGGGTTAGCCTCCTAACAAGATATATTACCGGTGGTCGTCGAAATGCCCCGTGAATATGCAAAGCCCCGCATTTATTCATTCTGCCGGTCGCGCGGAGCCGCCGCGGCTACCGCTGCTACTCCTCTCGCCGCTGCGACCGCGAGGAAAAAGCATCGCGGCCACGTCCAGCGACCAGCCAAATTGCGGTTTAATCTCTGGCGGCCGGTGATTAAACCTAAATTCTTAACGAAGTAATCTACGCTGCGTGTGTAGTAGACGCGTGAACAGGTACCGGCGATTCGATTTCGGCGAGCCGTGTAAACGGCTCGTTTAATCGTCGGACGCGTGTACAGGGACGATACGTGTTCTAGAGTCCGTGAACTGCCTCGCGTGGTGTCGCTCATTAGAGGGGTAAGGTCGCGCGTTGCGTGCTGCAGGACATCGAGGACGACACGCTCGACTGTCACCTGGCAAGCCACTGTTAGGCCAAAATCAAGTCGTCTCTCTCTCTCTCTCTCTCTCTATTTTGCGACGATCTTTCACGGTTTACTACCTGTTCTTCGCTTCGTTGACTCGTAAAGCCACTATCCTTCGTACATCGCTTGAATATTTGATCGATCGACCGATAATCAACGCGTGCCAGTGTTATGTCTGAATACGCGTGCATGCTTATTGTCTGAAATCGTCGACGACTCGAGCGTAATTTCGGATCGGGAGAAAATGGAAATGGGCGATCTTATCGAAAGATACGTGGTTTTCTTTTCACTTCTAAGTTCGTTATTGCAATCATTGGATGTTATTGTAAAAGCTCGAGAGAAAGAAGATTGAGGATCGAGATTAAGAGAACCTGTGGTGATGAATGATAAAATCAGGACGTTATGAAACGACGACAGACTCGTTAAAATACAGTGATGTGACTTTCTCTCGTTTTCGTCTCGAACAATTGAAAACGGTTTCGTGATTCGTCAACTTTGTTCTTATCGATAGAGTCACCGAAACGTTGTCCAATTTTCCAACTCTGGTTCGTCTCATGCGCCGGTCTGTCAATTTCTAGTTGCAACAAGCACGACGAAAACAGCATTCTGTGGATGCTCAGCCTTTGTAAGTAGGGAGCAAAGACACAACTTAGATTTTGACGAAGGAATTTTTACAGATGTCTCTCGGACATCTTAGAGTAAGACTCAAACTATCTTAGAGGAAGGACTTGAGATTTGGACAGTTCTTACATACTCCAAATATTTCTTTGTATCTCTCGCTGCTCACTTACGATCGTCTCTCAGTTCGTCTCTCTCCTAAAATACATTTTACTGAGACTTTTCACAAAGAGACTGATTTTCCTGCGTTTATAGAAAATGGCACGAAATGTGCAACACGTAATTTGCAAAAATGTGTATAGAACACTCCCAAAGTACAGTGGTTCTTACAGCGTTTAACAGACAAAATGATTTTCTATGTGTCTAGCTTTCATTTGTGAAATCGTCTCTACGTACGGCCACAGTTTAGAAATCAGTCCTCCGCGATTGGAAAATTCACGACGTTACGGTGTATATATTTACTTGACAGAGTCTTTCGTATCCTTCAGAATTTTCTGCAATTTCCGAAGAGCTTCCGCCCGAGCGTTCGCGTGACATTTCACCACCTCTTGTAACTGCTCGGCGACCGAGGCCTCCGCGCTTTTCATCGTTTCTTTCAGCTCGTTCGAGATCCGCTTTCGCTGTTTCACAGCCTCCTTCGTCTCGCTCGCGATGCACTTGACGAAATCGTTCGTCCGCAGACACTCTTTCAGGACCTGTCTCATCGTGCCCCTCAACGCGTCAGCCTCTTGAATTCGTTGATCGCACGCCGTCTTCGCGGCGCGAAGCGCGTTCGCGGCCTTCTTGTTGCAGATTTTTATTCCCTCGTCGTAGGCGTCTTTGACGTCCCGCAGACGGTCCATCTTCCCCGCGGCGCGTACCTGCAACAATTTTATTATCTCGTTCGCTCGTCCCTCGCTCGTCGTCGTTTAGCTCGACGCGGTTCTGTTATAATGTTCTAAGTGGAATGCCATGGAAATGCGGTTTAATGCGTCGCGAGTCACAAGCTGAAGGGCGTGAAATTTTCCCGAGGGAAGAGCAAACTTTGCAACACGTAGCCTCGATTCTTTTCACTATTCCTCGTCGTTGGATAAAATTGATGATTATTGCGAGAAACGACTGTTGCGATAGATGTTTTTTTAACTATTATAAAAATTACGAAAGTTTATATATATATATATTTTTTATAAAACTATAAGGACTATACGGAATGTGAGTGAATTTTTTTACGCCAGTGCACTGTCTCTTGAAAGTACCAATTTTGTTAATCGTAGAGTCAGAATTCTAATAGCTACCTCGGTGCTCTTTCGAACAGCTTCCTCCACCTTCTGCATTTCCCCGTTTACGAATTTTTCGTTGCTCCTCACCAGCTCGAGCAGTTCCTCGCCGGTTTTCGCAAACAAATCCTTCAGCTCCTTCATCTTCCGATCGACGTCCATCTTCGTTTGACGAACGACGTACGCGAACGTTTCGGCGAATGATTTGGCCAGGTCCTTGTCGCTTTTGCTTCGTTTCGAACAGGTCCTTGTCGCTTTTGCTTCGTTTACCTTCGACGAAGAGAAATTATCCGAGGTGTCTCCGTTACATGACATAGGGTCGCGTAATCTACGTACCTTTGTCCTGGTGTCCCTCGTCAGGACATAGAATTTTATACTCCTGCTCGCGATTGCGTTTCGCATAATCTCAAACGAGCGGTCCGCGAACAGCCGTCTGAACATTCTGGGAGTAACATTTCTCGTCCTCGATGCCACGTTACATCGCGAGACGTGAGTCTGCCTTTCAATTTCGATAATGATAAGACTCGCTGTGCCCAGAATCGAGACAAATATTGTTCTTTATATTTGTCAATCAACAGCTCTCGTCGTTTTCACTGGAATCATTACGCTCGCGGAAGAAGATCTGAAGGAAAAGTCGGAAAGAAACGCTGGCGAAATTTCGTTAATTGAAATCTGCTCGCGATGGATGGAGAGATATCGATAGGAGATTCGGTTTCGAGCGTCGGAGTATTTCAGGGCGGTGGGTGACGTTCGCGTTATTTATCGCGATTAATGGTTAACCGAAAGGAGCGGCATGAAGAATTATTTATCCGCCGGTGTGCGTCGGTGTTGAGTCGAAGCAGCTGTGGAAAGCAGCGAGTACAACCCGTCTCGGAGCCCGTTGAGGTGATGTGAATACAGCCTGAAATATTCAGACGACGATACATTAAAGTGGCCAGGAGTTGACCGTAACCGAGTTGAGAGAGAGATTTCGCGAAAAAGAAATTACACACATCGTCGTGAGAGATTGTTCTCGGCACGAGGAAAGATGTAAAACAGCCGCGCGAGAAAATTTTCGTTTTTCGTGCGCGCGGGCATAAAGAGTGGTGCATTTCGCACCAAGTCTGGGAAACAACGCGCCTTTATTATTAAACTCTGCACAGGATACGCCGTCTTCGCGATAGTTCCGCGTTTTATACGAATTTTATGCGAAATGCAAAAGACGATCCCGAAAGTTGCGGCAGATTAGCAAGAGATATTAAAGCCCACTTACTCTGAATATAAACAGGACGCGAGATCCGAGAATTTCAGGAGGCTGAACGAATTTTCGAGACACTGAGCCGAATCTGCCGAGTACATACAGAACGCGATACGAAAATTTAAGAAGATTAACGAGGAACAACGTCTGAAAATGTTATCGACACTTGGTTGATCCAGGCGGTTTTCAACGAAAGAATACGATGCGATTGTTGTCGGACATCACGGAAGAAATCGAATTACGGGGTGAAACTTTTTGAAAAGGATCGAACGTTGCGAAAGTCACGAACAAGAAGAGAGAGCTGTATCACAACGCCGTATCACCGAGCACTTGATCCATGCTCGAATTCCGCGGGCAAAGCTAGAGAACTGCTCGTCGGGATGGGTATTTGTTTTAATAAGGACGAGAAAGATCTGACGGGCGATCGAGCGGATCCTAGACCTTTGAGGAGCAGTCGAGCAATCGTGATTTTTGTGATAGGTGGTCCAGGTGTTGGAAAGAACACGTTGGGTAAAAAGTTGGCTTTGAAGTTCAGTCTCGTTTTGGTATCGATATCCGCTATACTTCGCGAAGAGATCGCTAAAGGTACGGAAAGGGGACATTTGTACAAGAGTTTCATGGAGAAGGGTGATCTTTTACCAGCCGTGACGGTCGTTCAATTGCTGGTGCGAAAGATGTTGGCCTATCCAGACGCGAACGGATATTTGATCATTGGCTTCCCCAGGGACAAGAAACAGGTGATGATTGCTGGTATTCTGAAACGAGGGAACAAAAGAAATTCAGTTTTATTTAATTTTCCTCGCGACATATTCGTCGTTTGATTTATATGGTACTTACTACACTGCAGAAAATATATTTTTCTGTGTCTTCGTTAAATTTACGATTTACGTAATTTGCTGTTTACGTAAATTTAAGTGCTTTTAAATTTAAATTATTTTGGTTGAAAAGGAGAGAATGTATGGCTCAAGATGTATCTTTCTTTCGCAAATGCAATACGTCGAATTCTAGTATTCTCTGGATCTAAAAAAATAACTAGTTTCAATGATAATTCAATTTTAACATAGTAGAGGAACGGTAAAGGAGAACGTGTATTGAAAAATATTTGTTTCAAATTTAATTTTAATTCTGGTAAAACTCAATTAAAACTCTGCGAAAGGCAGAGGTCGTGCAAATTCTACGAAAAAATTAAAGTTAAAGTATTTCCGATCGTGTTATTCTATGCAAAAATGGGGAAGTTAAATATAAATTGCGCGATTGTAAACTGTACGTTATTATACTTGAAAAATACGATCGTGAGTATGCAGTTTACCTTGAATTATTCATCTTCTCTCCTCCAATAAATTTGCACACAATTGCATTAATCAGACAGACGAATAAAATTTATTTTGGTTTCTCGAAATGTTCATTATCATTACGAAACAAGTGTTTTCGTGCCAACTCTTCTCTTTATTTGATTTTTCCGTATAGATAGACTTTCTTCTTTGCGCGTAAAAAAACCCACATAGAATGAATAATCCGCGTAAAATTAAGGAACGGGTGTACTGATAAAACGATTAATCGATTGACAGGCTGTACTGTTCAACACGGAAGTAAAGCCGCCCGATTTGATAATAAATCTGTGTGCCAGAAAATCGATTCTTCAAAAACGACTAGCGCAGCGTGCTGTGGAAACGCTGCGGTTCGACGATACCGAGGAAACCATTCGAAATCGTATAACAAACTATTTCGTGAACCTGGAAGGTGCGATCATGCCTAACAGAGTCGTGATGAAGATGGTCGATGCTGAATTAAGCATGGAGGAAGTATACAACGTGGCTTGCAGTTTAATAGAGAAAACTCTAATAAAGGAATGAAGAAAGTTGATGTTTGTGATAATCGTTGTCGTATGCAAACGTAAAGTCGTACAATATTTACTATTTTTAACATTTCCTGACTGCCACTTTCTGTTTTTATTCCCATAAATATTTTAAAGCGAATAAGAGATCAATCTTCTTAGACATTGTAATTTATTACGTTGCAGCAAATGTTGAGACGATATGCTTTCCGATTTAAAATATTCAATTCGAATGCAAATTACAGTTTTCAAATGAAAATCGTAATTCGTATTACAAGCTCCGTATTACGAAACAAAGAGTTAAACACGAGTAACTGCACATATTGTGAAATGAAAAGTTTCGTTGCACTTTTATTCCAACGTAATATATTCTATGAAAATTTTATTTGATCTCGACAGATAAAGCACATAAAAATGGTATCGCGGAGATACATTAACGCGTTAATATGCATTAAGACTTTATTGAGACTTTATCTTACGAAGTATTATTTGATAATTTAATTCGTTCAGTTTTCAAGCTCTGAGCAGAGATGTACGTTCTGCAAAAAAAAAAAAAAAAAAAAAGAACCGCGGGTCTCTAAGGTGTATGTAAAATACCATTCGAACTTTTGAAACGCTAAATCGGCGTATTTTTCACTCATTTCGTTCATTCGATGGAACGTTCAACGGGTAGTTCACGGGAAAACGGATCCTCTTGAAATCGCGTTCGCCCACGAGACAATATATCTCAAATATCGAATCGAAAAAAAAAAAAAAAAAAAATAAATAAAGAAAAAAAGAAAACAAAAAGATCGATAGATAGGAAAAAAGAATGGGTACCGGTGCTCGGCTGCATTTCAAAGTTGCGCGATCTCCCCGATTAAAAAGATTTTCAATTTTTCTGGAAAGCGTGTGCAGAATAATCGACGTTCTGTCGTGTCCAGGCCTCTTCTCTCTTCTCGTAGTTTCGTATTTTCTGGCTGGATCGTGACGGAGCCGACGAGGAGCTAACCGGAAATTACCGTAGGTACCACGGCGAATGGATTCCAAGCGTATTTTCCTTCCTCTTAATACGGTCACCGAGATTATATCTCCGCCGTGTACGAATCGACCTTTCTTTTTCCAGTCTAGCCGCGGCGTTCAACTTTCCAATAACTTTCAACGCGGTTTCGTCGCGTTTTAACGCTGCTCCGGCTAATATTTCGTCGCAGTGGGATCCCGGCGCATCTGACACTTAAAGAACGAAGCCAATGAACGAACTTTCCTCTCGCGTTGTTGAAAAAACTTTTCGGGCAAACCGCGGCGACGTTTCTCTCCTGGCCGCAGTTTAATTCGGCCGTTGCTTTAATTTTCCCGGATACGCGTACGGAATGTCCAACGTAGGCATGCTCCTATTTCTCTCTATGATTCTTTCAAGTTACGTCACGAGTGGAAAACTGAAATTCTTTGGAAATGAAGCCGGTAGATAGCGAGCCGATATTTTGGAATTTTTTTCGTTTCGTCATGATAAAATCGAGAGATCCGCCGTTCAATCGTCCAGATTGCGTGACACAGAAATCGTCGAATTTTTTCCTTTCTTTTTTTCTTTTTCTTTCTTCTTTTTTCATCCGTCCTGGATTCAGGGAAACGAAGCACGTAGAGTTCAGACGCGCCCGAGGCAGAAAATTTACGATATCTGTCGAACGCATCTGAGGATTCTTTGTCCGAAATAATTGAGAAACATCCTGGAAGCACGTTTTCACGGTCTCTTTACTTTAACATTCGGTATCGCGACCAACCGCCATGACCATCCGCTAACTATGCACCGGGCAAGAGAAACATTCATTTCAAATATTCAACATCATCCGGTGAGAACAGATATTTCGGACAGTGCCTTTCTTCAGTTTCTCTGTCTTTCTTTTCTTTCTTGTTGCTTTCTTTGTTTGTATTTTTACGCTCCACAGTTTTGTTGGGAAAAATATTTTTACGAGAATGGAAAATGAAGCGGAGAGTCGAATGTTAATATTCGACGAAAGTGTCCCAGAATCGGGAGTCGGAAGGAATTCGTTGTCGAGAGTTTTCATTCTGTGGTGTAACGATTCGTGCGAGAATCATAGCGAGAGCAATTAAACGGAACAAAGATAAAGCATGCGCTGCCGTAGTGCTCGTCAGCTACCGATCTCCCCGCCCTAAATTTTCGATTAGCAAGGAACAAAGCAGGTTCGCCCGGTGCTATCATGAAAATTGTTCGATTTCGCCCGCTATTGAAATCCAGCGTGCTCGTTCCATACGAAATGGTCGATGGCAGAATGAAGCGAAATGGAACGAAACGAAACGAAACGAAACGAAACGAAACGTTTCCTGTCGCGGTCGGGAGAACTGTGTGCCCTTCTCTCTCGTTTGCAGTTAAGCAAGAGTTTAATCGGTTACTGAAAACTGGAAAAATTAGATCGATGGCTCTAAGCTGCTAGCAACTTCTTAGAAACGTTTGTGCGACGCTGGTCACGAATATAAATCGACCAGTATATAATATAGTTAGACACACAGGAATCAACGAATTTGTGCGCGCGTCGAATTTCGAAACAGAAACAGGAGATCGTACCTTGTAATAGCGGGAAACGCTCGTAAGTAGGAACGTTTTGAGAGAAATCGGTGAAAAATACAAGGGCATCGGACGAAGTATCGAGCGACGGGTGAATCGAGCAGAATTTCAATTTGTCCCTCGCAGGCACGGTAAAAAAAAAAAAAAAAAACCGGATTATCGGTCAACTGGAATTGAAATTAAATTTTCGTCTGTTAGGTCGGCTCGATCGGCGCGAATCCGCCAACTGTTGACCAGTCAAATTTCACCGACGTTCCCTCTGCAATAACGATAACTCCATGACGGCCACCACGGCTATCGATTTCCTGCAGTTACCATTCCGCTCGTATTTCCTTCTTTTTTTTTCTTTTTCCTTTTCGTTCCTTTTTCCCCCCTTTGGCTGTTCGCTGTTCTTGGGCTGGCCACGTCGCGACGACAGAGCGGAAACGGGGACACAGGCGGGAAGGGGGCGAAAGAGGATCAGCAACCGATTTCTGTTTCTGTCTGTTTCCATGGTATCGTGACTGCGCGATATCCGACGAACTTGTAAAACTTGCGCAATCAGCCGTGAGATTGCATGTGGCCCTCGCCCTTTGTCCCTCTGGCCGGAGAACCCAGCCACCGACCTCTGCCCGCGTTTCCGTCCTCATGGCACCGATGTTTTCTCTGACCACCGCCGCGGATCGCTGGCGAACCGCAAACGGCACAACCGTTCGACCGCGTTTCTGAGAATTCTCGTTCGCCGGTTGCGTTACGTTCGAACGATGGTAATCGTAACAGCGATTCCCCGGGCTAAGAAAATTTTCGTCGATGTCTTCCTTTTCCTTCTTCTTTATTTGCATACCGCTAAGATCGCGCTAAGATCGCGCTCAATTCATTCGGATAAAGGATACATACGAAACAGGAAGACGAGGGAAAAAAGAAAATCTTGAAATTTAGTAAGTTTTTGTTTAAATCCATTTTGGGTTCGAACTAGTATTATCCACAGGAACAAAGTGACTAGAATTGATGAACTGTGGCACTGATGTCGTACGAATTGTTTGCCTTTCTGTTGCTTGAAAAAGTTTTTATGTCAGTGTTACATAAGTTCTGAACCTTCGTTAATACTGTGGATTGATAGTAGTTATTAATAGTTCTTTATTCTTACAATCCCTTGTTTTAGTTTGATATTTTGTACGATACAAGTTCGCAAAAAATTTCCTACAGCTGCTCGGATATGAGCTTCCATGAGTGGCTATATAGTGGAATTCTTCGGAATAAAAGATAGTACTTGTATATCAATTTGAAATAGATTCGGGCGATCCTTGGCAAGATCTATAAATCCATCAGCGGTTGATCTTTCGTTTCTTCGATTCCACGTTGCTCGTGGCTCTTTCATCGAAGATTTATGTCCCTACGTTTTTCTTATCGGTCGATCCGAATGTCTATACTCGTATATTTTTTTTTTCTTTTTTTTCACGCTGATCGTAACTGCTTACCGATGACGGGGACGTTAGGAAGAAACGGGCTGAAAATTCGAGCGCGCATACGGCGAAATAAGAAAAGAGAGGATAGGCGGAAAGGCGGATTTCGTTAAACGCGGGACGTAGGATTCGTTTTAAACACGGCGAGCCACGTAAAACGACGCAGCAACGAAGGAACACGGAGATAAAGCAAATTTTCCTCCGCTTCTCCATAAATTCATGAAGAAATATGCGGGCAACCTGACGCGAGGATTTCGGGTTAGGTCGTCTCCCTCGATTTCTCTCCTTTTTCCGTTTCCTTTAAATATATATATATATATATCCCTTTCTTAATCTTTCTTGCCGTTTTCGTTTTCGTTTTCGTCTCGTTGGGAATTTCGTTAAGGCTGCAGTTTACACGACTACTCTATCGGGTAACTTTATTTCTTCTTTCCTTTTTCCTTTTTTCTAAATGTTCTTCTTAATTCCCAGATATTAGGTTGCTGGTTAAATGTTGTTTCACATGGATTCACACGTTGCTCGTTCGTGATTCTCCGAAATATAACGTTCTGCAACAAGATTTCGCAACGAACAATTTCTTTCAAGTCAGAACTCTCGCGACGTCGAACGAACGTAAAGAAATGTAACTTACATATTTATAAATATCACAGTAATATAATTAAATATTAAATATTGAATGACTATTGACTGATGAACGTTAAATATAACAATTACGATTTCTATAATTTCTATAATTATACAGTCTCTGTCTTCGACACGATTATAATTAACGATAAGAAACAAAATTTTATGATCAGCGTAATTGGACAGTATTAGAGTAGTAGATAGTTGTAGATGATTGTAAATTAAATCAAATGAAAATTCAATTACGCTTGACTCTTAATACGACAACGATGCCAGTTATGTTAATGAAGTTAGGCTTCTTACAGACTCCGGTCGTTATCCTCCGCCAGTGTTGCGAAACGTGACACATTTTATTCTTTCGTTTTATCTCGTTCTTACGTTTGTGCCGCGAAT